AATAATAATAATAATAATAAATAGATTGAGTCGATTCAAATCATTAGTCCAATTAAATTGAAATTCACTATCCAGTTCATAAAAACCAAAAGCCCATCTCACTCTTTAAATAAATTAAATCATTACTCAATTATTTATCTTAATTAAGTGTAATTGAGTATTACCAAAATTAGCACGGAAATTCCCCTATAAATAGGACCAATGGTCTCAAAAAAAAAAAAAAAAAAAGCGAAGCAAAAAGAAGCGAACGCAAAGAAGGCAACCATGAAGTGTTGAAGAAATTTCAAGGCTGGAGGAAGGGAAGAAATCCTCTCAAACCTAACTTAGTGAATCTCAAGAAGATCAGAATCTTCTTTGAATCAAATAGGTTCACGCTAAGTCCAAAAAGATCAAAGTCTTCTTCAAATCCAATTAAATTCAAGTTCAAGCCCTAAAGTTCAAGTACTGGAGAAATCAAATCTCAACAAACAAATTTTCAACAAATTCTCGAAGATTAGGATTCAAGCCACGTGACCCCTCGTCTTTAAATATTCAGATCATTAATTAGATAATTTTTGCAATTTTACAACTACAAGAAAGTCAACATCACTTGTATTTTATCAAATACAATTTGTAACGATTTCTGTATTTTAATACACGAAATTTCATCATACAAATTTCTTGGTGATCAAGTATAGCGCTTCTTCTTGCTTCGCTTTTTTTTTTTTTTTTTTTTTATGGGCTCCATCAAATCTTTCTTTTCATGTTTAACGCTCAGTTTTTGTTTGGGCCCTAGTCGCATGGAAGAGTTCAACAAATATCTCTTCAAGATGAGTCATAGTTTGTTTCATCTTTTCGTTTGCCATTGCTAATGTAGTAGTTGAAATTTGAAGATTTTGAGATCAAAAGATGAAAGGACAAGAAGGTCCTATTGGACGTGCCAGGAAATTTGTACGATGAAATTTCATGTATTAAAATACATAAATCGTTACAAATTGTATTTTGATAAAATACAAGTGATGTCGACCTTCTTGCAATTGTAAAATTGCAAAAATTCTCTGATTAATGATCTAAATATTTGAATACAAGGGGCCACGTGGCTTGAATCCTGATATTCGAGAATTTGTTGAGATTTGATTTGTCCAATACTTGAACTTCGAGACTTGAACTTGAATTTGGTTTGATTTGAAGAAGACTTTGATCTTCTTAGACTTGGTGTGAACCTATTTGATTCGAAAAAGATTTTGATCTTCTTAGGGTTCACCGAATTTAAGTTAGAGAGGATTTCTTCCCTTCCTCCGGCCTTGGAATTTTTTCAGCATTTCGTGATTGCGTTCTTTACTTTCTTTCTTCTTGCTTGCTTCTTTTTTTGGGACCATTGATTCTATTTATAGGGGAATTTTCGTACTAATTTTGGTAATACTCAATTATATTTAATTAAGATAAATAATTGAGTAATGATTTATTTATTTAAAGAGTGAGATGGGCCTTTGGTTTTTTATAGACTTTAGTAGACTTAAAATTTAATTGGGCTAATGATTTAAATCGACCCAATCCATTTTCTTTAATTTTAATTTTTTTTTATGTCTACAATAACATTTTTAACATAACATGAAAATGGAGAAAGAGCCCACGTGCTCTAGCACGCTTGGACCACGATCCTAATAATGTAGGCCCAACACGACCTACTACGTCTCAAAGGGAACCATTTTTATGAGTTAAAAAAGACTGTGTCAAGTAAAATTCTCGTTGCCTCAATGAAGACTCCTCACTATAATCATGTCCCATGACAAATATCTGAATAAATGCAACAAAATACTCAAGAGACACAAGTGGAAGCTAAAAGCAAAACGTTTCATTTGATCATATAATATATTCGATGTAAAAGGTTTATCACAATTGTGAAGTGGGGTGTAAAATCCAGAGTCAGCTACAATTGCTGAGCTAAATGCTTGCTGAGGACGTCCAATACTAGAGGAAACAAAATGCCTTTACAACTATTTACAAAACATTAATAGATTCGGAGCAGTTGGAAAAGAAAATCAAAAATCAATTGAAAAAGAGAAGAAATAAAAGGAATGTACAAAACTATACAGAACTTTTAGCTCACGCGTCAGATTTTCACAAACGATCATTCTAACATTTTTTTTTTCTTATTTTGAGTTAGTCTAAGGATTTTTTCTTCATTTTTACAATATTTTAGTTTTATTCAAGTTTGTCTACGTAATAGGATTTTGATTTGTTTAAAATTCATTTTGACTCTTTAAATATATGTTTAGATTTTGAAAACCCCACAATCGTTTTTCAATAAATAATTTTTTTGATTTTTTTCGTTATTTCATTATTTCTTACGTCCGTTCAAGTGAAAATTCAAACAACATCATTTCTTGTGTTATGAATAAGAATCTTTTATTATTATTCACGTTTTCATCTTGTGTCAATAACAGTCCTGCACTGCTAGATTCCTTGAGCTGTGTACATGTTTGTGAAGCTCAAGGTCCACCGATGCAGGTTAATGTTGAACAAGACACGGTATAGATTGGCTAGTATGTAAAGGAAAGCATGCCAAATAAACAGTGGCTACACAATGTTAAATATTTTTCATCATTTTGCATGTGTTTAATTTTTTGTTTTGCGAATGATTTGCTGCCCGGATTAGTGTTTGCCGCTGCGCAACAGGATTCGACCTGTCCGGTCAGGTCGCGGGGGGTCGAGGGGACAGCGCCCCCCGTGGGGGCTCGGGGACAACGCCCCCTCATATGAAGAGAATTTTATTTTCAAAAGTTTTTGAATAGGTGCATCTGTTCATTTTTAATAGTTACTTCCAATATATGTATGCAAGGATTTCAAGGGATACACCTATTCAAACAGTTGCCTCAGTTTCTATAAATTCTAGGCGAATTCTCATTTGCAAACACATTAAACAATTTATTCTTCCTTCTTTCTCTTGGCATCAATCAGTTATTTTCGAGTGTCTTCTTAGTTTGATCAAATAATCACAATTTGAATCAAATGCCTCAATTGTATCCTGAGAGAGATTTTCTATCATACCCCAGTTGTGACTTTGTTGAATAGGGGAGAAACATCTCTTAAAAGAAACGTTTTTTTTTCGTGCCTTGAAGTTCATTAACGTATTCAGATTTCCCTACATAATTATCAACACACTAGTCTAGCTTACAATGCAAAACGGAAACCAGCAAAAGAGCTTTGAGTTAATTGGAGAATGTCAAGCACGATTATGTATGTTGCCGCAAGTAAAAAATGGCAAAACTCCTAATAATTTTTCTTGTGAGCCCATACAATTTCAAACCTGAACTTGTATAACAGGTGCCATAGAGAAGATAAAACTAAAGAAATTAGCGAGCACTGTCACCATCATCAATTCCATTTCAAAACAATCTACTGTTTCTGATCTCCTAGACCATACACTATCCTTTCTTCCTTCGAGCCCAAAAATAAAAAAATAAAATTAGAATTGGAGTTTCATCTTATATTTGGAAGTGTTGTACTGTATCACTTATGGGGGAAGGAAAAAATAAAATAAAATAAATAAAATTGCAAAACTAACATACATTATACTCACACCGTCTAGTACTATACATACCAAGGTTAAAACACTCGACTGAACATTTATACAAGACTCCTTATTTTTTGTTGCAGTCTCTGATATTTGTAATCTTCTACATATAATGTTCCATCGATACGATAATATTACATGTGTACAATATGAGCTGGATATCCTATCCAAAATGGAAGGCAGTCATTTGCCTAATCATTTCCTAGAGAGCTTCAGTTTCTGTAAGTTCCTTGCTTGGGCCAACACCTTTATCTCCGGAGGAAGAAGCTCCTTCAAATGAAATAGTGCTACTGTGCATCTTATTGCCTATATCCGTCTCTGTGAGGCTGGCTGACTTGTCATTGTCGGTTTCTTCTAATGTTTCTTCAACTCTGTAATAAACCTTCAGAAAGCAGTAAACAGATGGAAATTGAGTTTGTTCGGTACAAACAGACCACAAATATTTACCTTCAAAAGAAAAATAATTCGTGTTATGTCAACTGATCTAGTATTCACATATTCAAAGTCGACGACTTTGACCTGGTATTAGGCAGGGCAGTATACTGTGCACATTGAAAAGAAGACGTTGCAAAACTCACAAATTGCACTCTTGTTATGCTCCTTCCACACGGTTTTGCTTTTACACATTACAAACATGTTCATACTCGGTCAAATACGAATAAATACCATCAGAACATGGTTTTGAAATTGCCAAATTTGGTTTCTATAGCACAAAGATGTAAAAGCAAGAAGCAGCATATTCCTTGGTGCTAGTTTTTGGAAGTAACTGTTATTGCTCCAGGCTAGAATACGAAAAAGAACACTCAGAAGTTTGAGGTAAAATTGATCCAAGAATGACTTTAACAAAGAAGGTAAAATTGCGTCGCTCTTGTCAACAAGAGTTCATTTAAGTCTATGCAAAACATGGCCCGACCATCTAAGTTACTGTATTTTATCTTAGAATGTATCACCATTACTTGATGGCGTATATTTTCATTTTTAATCTAATCAATTTCAGGAGAATAAATGTCCATCTTCACACCCTCATTTATTCTACATTCATGTCGTGGTCATTTTATCCTTACAAGGTTGGTGCATATAGAAGTGTCACTGATAGAAAACAAATGATGCTATTAACAGCATACTAATCTTGATGATTATAGCCCACCGAGACACTTCAAAAGATCAAACTAAGTTTTCTCATTTATACCAATTAATAAGTCTGGCTCCAAAAAATAATATAGCCTAAAACTAAATGCAAAAGGGTCGTAGTCGGAAGCATACCACACATGTACGAGCAGGAGAGAGTACTTTGAAGGAATTGGGACGGTTATTAAAATTTGTTTCAGGGACTCCAGGTACTCCTTCTGGGGTTGTGAAATGATCAGAGTCATGACCCACCTGCCATCACAAGTTATCTGAAGTCAAGCCATCATGAAGATGTTAACAGTACCTCATATGAAAAATTTCTAAAGAATCAAACCAATCAATTTTCAACGAACCCCTCAACCAGCAACTGCAGTACAATCGGCTCTTCAAAAGATTGTACATAGACCAGCAATAATTTTTTAGCCATGTCAGCCAATCTTCTGGTTATATCTTTTGGCTCTAGTGTTTCAAAACCTTCTGTATTTTCAGGACTTTTGTCCATTTCTTTCTTTTTCAACCATCATCTTATTTCAAACAAATAAAAATGCTTGTAGAGATTTTAAAATAATCAGTAGTGTTTTATCAAAATGCAAATGCACAGAAGCTATGCTTTCCAAGAACCCGGGGCATCACTCCACTGTTCCACAAGTTCAAATAGCATAGGGTTAATGAAATGGGGAGGTGAGAAAGAAAGAAATCATTAACAGAACAGTTACAAATACAAAACCAATTTAGTTTTAGGATAAATTACACTCAAGTTCCCCACCCTGTACATAATTCCAAACTGTGCAATTTTGTAGGACTTGGTTCCCGGTGGACACAAACCCATTAAAATATCACTTGAAGCACACATGAAACTCTATTTTGAGTGGCCTGATAGGTAAACACAAATATTTCAATAAACGAATAACTAAAAATGAAATGAGAAATGAAAAGGACAGATTAAGGGAAAATAACAAAAGCCCTGCATATCACCCCCTTACACCCATATGTCACCCCATTGCACCAACCCCAGCCTAGTTTTCCCACATTCCTGGCATAACTTTCCCTTCAGTTATGCAGTGAGATCTGCTGTGGAAGTAATGTACTCACCTCAAGTATGAAAATGTATAGGGAGAAAAAAGGGTTTTAATATAATCCTTATTTGTCTAGAAAGAGCCAATAGGGGGCTATGGTGAGTATTATAATGAGAAAAACATTGTTATCATCACTCGTTAATGACAGTTTTAACTGATGGAAGTAAGAGGGAATATGTTGTAATTTATCTTTAGAAGGAACATTAAAATCTAATGATTTTAGGTAAGTACAACTAAGATGGAACAGATAGAATGTCATTTTATCATAGTAGTAATAACATGTCCCCTTAAGTAATATTTAGGTACTTAGATTCAATTATTAATAAGGAGAAATAAAACAGAATTAACATGTTTTCATATGTTTATAAATGCTTTAATTTGATTGGATCTTCTGCTAGATGTGGAAATTAATCAAAGCAAGTCGTGGATAAAGATTCGCATAGCTAACTTCAAGTTTATCAAGTATAAGACCTAGTTTGTTGTTGTTGGTTTTAGAAGCATGTTTAAATATGTCTAAGACATCAAAAGCACTGGTCGAAAAAGAAGGGTTGGGTATTAAGAGTCTATTTCCGTCTATTATAATTAGTTTATTTTATTACCTTGCATAGCCTAGCTAATTAGAGCACAAAATCAGGGTTTAATTCCCCTTGTATAGTTTCCATATGTAGCTGTGTGCTATTCTATAAACTAAAGGCAATACAAAGAAGAAATTATCAAGTAAAATTAGCATGGTATCAGAGCCCTAAAATTTTTATCTCGTATATATGGTCGTCTTCTTGTGCTTCTGACGCCATATCGAGTCCCCGACACCATTTGTGGTTGGCGGCTAGACCATAGTGGTCGGCGTGGTTGACGGCCTTAGTTGGACTACTGTTCATCGGAGTTGGAGTCTTATGCGCATCTCATCTCTACCGTGTGGTTTTGAGACCCTATAGTAGTGTCACGGACTATTGGTACCATCTAAGATTAGGGTCTTCAATTTCAGCGCCTTCAAGATTGGTTCTGTTGGATCCGAAAGGATTGTAGTGAATGAGATTAATGATGCGATATGAAGTAATGAAGATCGCAACGAGAAATAAGATTTAAAAGTAAAGAAATTAATAAAGAGAGTTAAACGCAAAAGCACGATGTTTTAGAAATTGACAATTTGGAGAGAAATACAAAAACTCGACAATTCTTGCTTGAACAAAACTAAAAACAAGATCACTATTTATAAGTACATGGCATAACATAAAAGATAGAATAAAAAAAATAATATATTTCCATAAAAATCACGAAAAATATAAAGAAACAAATTTTCCCACATAAAAATAAGGTAACAATTTATTTCCAAAAAAAATCCACCCTAATTTAGGTCACAAACCCAACAATCTCCACCTTGGCCCAGATTCTGGTGCAACGAACGAAGCTCCAAGATATCATATCCGTCTACATCGAAATAACCAATCTCCTCAACACAGTAACCAAAACTTTCTAAACCAAACCGTGGTCCTCTGCAAGGCGTCCACAAGCGACACCTGAACCTAAATTTTGGGTTCCCAAAATTTCACCGAGGAATTACTGTTAACCAAATAGGGTCGAAGCACACCCTGTAGCAAAAAACATACCACATACTGGATTAGAAGGCCATTAGAAAGCCCATTGCTAGAATTGTCGCTTTCAACGTCCCAAAAAGCATCCCAGACATTATTGACACCACGGTACCTACGCTCCATGAGTCCAACCCTAGCAAATGAACAGAGTGTACTAAACTTGTCCCGATATTTCTTAACTGGTTCTGCACTTCCCTGTAAGATGTACAACTGAGACTTCTTCCGTCCCTCCAATACAACCCGGACACCCATTTGGACCTTCAGAACTCCACCTTTACCAGAGAATTTATACCAATTTGCATCCAAAGTACTAAGTGAGATGAGATTCCTTTTCAGGTCTGGAACATGTCGAACCTGATAAATTGTTCTGATTGTCCCATCCCACAACCTTAATCTAACTAGACCGATTCCATCAACACGGCAAGAGTAGTTGTTTCCCATCACAACTTCACTTTACTTGACAGCCTCATATGTCTAAAAGAAATTTCAATTGGAACACATATGATGCGAACCTGCTGAATCGAGATCCACTCCTCATCAGGCCTAGATTCCATGTCAAATACCATGGTTAACATCACATCTCCGTCGTTTGAAAAATCATCAACTGCATTTGTTTCGTCTGAAATCAAACGTTGTGCTCCACGATATGCAGCTAAATCACCTTTAGCCTGCAACTTAACACAATCCTTCATCTGAAAAATTCTCAACTGCATTTGTTTCGTCTGAAGTTGACGATTGCACTCCACGATATGCAGCTAAATCACCTTTAACCTGTAGCTTATCACAATCCTTCCGAAAATGTCCCTTAAGTTTGCAGTAGAAGCAAAACAAATTCCTGTTATTCTTCAATCTACCCCTTCGTTTACCATGAGATACAAGAGTTTCTTCATCCCTTGATGTAGCCCTAACCAAATGTTTCAACTTCTCCTTTGAGTGCAAAGCATCATAGGTCGTCTATAGTCAAAGTATCCCGACTATGCACAATGGTGTCGCGAAACGACGCATAAAAGCCAGACAGCGAACATAATAGGATCAAGGCAAGATCCTCTTCATTGTACTTAACCTCCAACATTTTCAAATCTGAGACAATTTTCTTGAACACAGCAATATTGTCTTCCAACGACTCTTCTTCCGCCATGCGATGGGAATACAACTTCTACTTTAGAGCCAGTTTACTAGTAAAACTCTTGGTCATACATAATTGCTCTAATTTCAACCACAAAGCAGCTACTGTTTTTTCCTTCAAGACATCCTTCAGAATATTATTGGATAGATGAAGATAAATTAATGACAAAGTTTTCCGATTTCTCTATTGTTTCTCCACCGTTTCTCCTCCGTTGTCCAATTAAAAGTAAAGAAATCAACAAAAAGAGTTAATCGCAGAAGTACGACGTTTTAGTAATCGACATTATGAAGAGGAATACAAGAACTCAACAATTCTTGTTTGAACAAAACTGAAAGAGAAGACCACTATTTATGGATACATGACATAGCATAAAGATAGAAATAATGTGGAATAAGGAAATAATATAATTCCATAACAATCACGTGAAATATAAAGAAACAAATTTTCCCACATGAAAATAAGGAAACAATTTATTTCCAAAAAAAATCCACCCTCATTTGGGTCACAAACCCAACAAGTTCTGGACGACGTAGCTTGTTCCAGTAACATCAATTGTCGTCGGTCACACTTTCAGCATCGTTTGAGCTCCTGCTATGGACTATGAGTTGGGCTACTTGTGATTTCCTTTCGGTTGTTAGGCTGCTTTTGGTTTCTTCTCTTTGGGCTGCATTGCATAAGTAGGTAATTTGTTTTGGTTTGGGCTTGGGTTGTGTTTGGTGGGCTATAGTATTTGGACTCAAGTTGTAGGTGAGATCTAATTTTATTTGGGCTTGAGTTACAAGTTTGATTAATTTTGATTAAAATTCATCGTGTCATCTAAGATGGGTGATTCTGTTGGCATTTGCTTTATCAAGAACTACTCTTCATGCGCTTTTAACTTTCAGTTATTGGATGAAGGCAAAGGTGACTTGAGAGGATATATTGATGGAAGCCTCCACCTCTTGATCATCAAAAGAAGGAGAGGGAAAAAACCTTCTTGAAAAACAAAAGATTCTCAAATTATGGTTTGGATAATTAGATCAGTTGATGCTCAAATTGTTAATCTCAGGCCTTACAAGTCAACCCATGCCATGTGGGACTATTTGAAGGAAATTTAAACTCGAAACAATAATGCTCGAAGAAGTTTGAATTGGCAAAATTTCTCTCAAGATTCATGCTCCATTGAAGAATATTATTTTGACTTTTCTAACCTTTGGGCTGAGTGCACAGATAATGTCTATGCTTCCATTTCATATGACAATTTGGAGGCTGTCCAGACTGTACATGAAGTAACCAAGAGGAATCCAATTATCATGAAATTGCAAGTTGAATTTGAACCCATCAGGTCCAGTCTTATGAATCGCAAATCTATTCCAACGTTGGATGGCTGTTTATGTGAATTACTGAGAGAGGAGTAGCGTCTTATAACTCGTACCTTTTTAGAACAACAGCAGGATCGATTAACACCAGGATATTTCTAGTGTGCAGTTTTACAGCTATGAGGGGTTTGGCATACATGGCTCTTCAGTGTCCCATAAAAGTATGCAGTTATTGCCAGAGCCTGGACATGTCATTTAAGGAATGTTATATTCATCCTACATTCGCCCCTAGTTCTGCACCGCCACCTATCCCTGCTTATGTTCCAACCTCTCCCCGTCCTGTCCAAAACACCATTACTCCTCAGATGATCCAACAAATGGTCATTTTTGCGTTGTCTGCTTTAGGTGTCTCAAGTAATCCATCAATTCCTTCCTCTTCTTAGTTATTAGACTCGGGTGCCTCTAATCATATTACTTATGATCCTCTGTTGCTTAGTAATATTAGACCATATACTAACATCCCCATATACAAACTGTCGATGGTAACACTTCCTATCTTAGTTGTAGGTGATATATCACCAAACTTGTCGAATGTTTTAGTCTCTCATAGTTTATCAACTAATCTTGTATTGTTGGTCAACTTCTTGATACCAATTGTACCATGTCCTATTCTTCTTCTAATTTTCATGTATAGAATTAGGTTTCTAGAGGACGACTCTGAGGGGACCTAAGGAAGGACATCTCTTTCCTATTTCACGGAAGCCGACTTCCTTTTTTCTTTTTATTTGTATCTCAGCTACTTTTAATATTGTTGATTAGCATAAAAAATTGGGTCATCCAATTCTAATGTATCACGGCACTTGTTAAATTTCGGTTTACTTGGTAATTAGGATTCTACTTCGGTTTCGTCTTTCTTAATTGTGCTTCATGTGAGCTTGCTAAAAGTAAGATATTACCATTCTCGTCTCATGATTCTCATGCTTCACATATTTTCGATATTGTTTATAGTGATGAATGTAGTCTTACAATTGTAGTGTCTCATGCTGATTATAAATAACTTGTTACTTTTATCAATGATTATAGTCGCTTACATGAGTTTATTTTCTCCACAAAAAGTCAGGTTTAGGTTTTCTCTACCTTTCAAAGTTTTCCTTACTCTTATTGACAACCAATTTTTCTCCTTAATCAAAATCTTAAAATCTGATTCAGGAGGTGAATGTGTCTACTGCGTTTCAATAGTTCTTACAGACAAAAGGTATTATTTCTCAGCGATCTTGTCCCTCTACCCTTCAACCGAACGGGGTGGCAGAACATAAGAATTGTATGATTAGAGCTCTTCTGATTGAGTCTTCAGAACCTTCTCGTTTTTGGTATAAAGCCTTGTCTACTGCCGTGCATCCCATAAATCGGTTACTTTCTCCCACTCTTAATAATGTTTCTCCATTTTATAAGCTTTTTCATCAACATCTCACATATTCTCATCTATGACCTTCTGGGTGTGTTTTTTTTGTTCATTTACAACTACATGAAAGGACAAAACTCACACCACAATCTGTCAAGTGCGTCTTTCTAGGACATGGTGGTACATAAAAAGGATATGTCTGTTAATGATAATAAGACACAACGCATTATGATTTCTCGTAATGTCGTTTTTTGAAAAACAATCTTTCATCATCTTAGAAAATGTTGTTCCTACTCCTGTGTTCTCTGTCTTGCCTGATTTTCATCCATAATTCTCTTGGTACAAGCCAGGTCTTGTTTATATTCCCAGGCCTACCGCTCCAATCAATGATCTCGAGCCTTCTTGTCAAACGACTGTCCCTTCAAGCATCTCAGATCCTCCAACTACGACATTAGATCCTTCATCAAATGATCTTCCGCCTCCTGTCACTTATCATCGCACTTCTCGTGTTTCTCGACCGCCAAATAGGTATGGTTTTCCCTTCCATGGCTCTATGTCCGCTATTCTTAACTCGATTGCCATTCCTTCCTCATGTAGACAAGCTATGGAACAAGAGTGTTGGCAACCGACAATAAATGTAGAAGTTGAGGCCCTGAAGGCTAACCAAACTGAGGATGTTGTAGTATGTCCAGAGACTATAAAATCTATTAGGAGTAAATGGGTATGCTCAATTAAACTTCGTTCCAATGGCTCTCTTAAGCGCTATAAAGCTCGATTGGTTGCCATGAGTAACAGTCAAGAGTATGGAATCGACTATGATGAGACTTTTGCTCTGATGGCTAAAATAACCATCGTTCGCCTCTTGTTATCACTTGTCGCTTCTCGATCTTGGTCTTTATATCATATAGATGTAAAGACTGGGATCTTAAAGAAGATACTTATGTAGAACTTTCATCTAGTATGCCACTCCCTCGGCTAACTCTGCATGTAAACTCAAATGCTCTCTGTGGTCTTAAGCACGCTCCTCGAGCATGGTTTGACAAGTTCCGTCGCACCCTTTTGAATTTTTCCTTCATTTAAAGTCAGTATGATGCTCCTCTATTCTTATACAAGAGTACTGCTATCATCCTTTTCTTGTTGGTATATGTAAATGATAACTATCTCTAGATCTGATCACGCTCACATTCAAAAGTCTCAGTGGCATCTTCACTTCGCTTTTCAGTTCATACTCCATTGGGGCTTAAAGTATATGTAAATGATAACTATCTCTAGATCTGATCACGCTCACATTCAAAAGTCTCAGTGGCATCTTCACTTCGTTTTTCAGTTCATACTCCATTGGGGCTTAATGTTAAGTATTGAAAAGACGAAGGCGACATTATTCCAAACCGTACTCTATATCGAAAGTTGGGGGATAGTCTCAATTATCTCACTATCACACACCCGGAGATTTCATTTGCAGTTCATACTGTCTGCAAATTTATGACATCCCTCGTCATCTTCACTTAGTCGCTGTTCGTCGCATTATTCTCTGTCTTATTGGGGCTCCTCAACATGGTCTGTTCTTCCCTGGGGATTCCTCTTGAGATCACCACTTATAGTATTGCTGACTAGGCTAGTTGTCATGACTCTCGTTGATCTACTACTAGATAGTGCATCTTTCTAGGTAATGCTCTCATTTCTTGGAAATGTAAGATAGAACTATGTTTCTAAGTCCTCCACTAAGTTCGAGGATCACGCTGAGGTTGTGTAGCTACATTGTATTCTCGCAGAACTCGGTGTTTTGCAATCAATTCTACACCTTTCCATGGTGACAATACTAGTGCTAATCAGATTGCAACAAATCATATGTATCATGAACGCACCAAACATATTGAAATGGACTGTCATTACATTCGAGACGCCTATGATTTTAAGGTCATCGATCTTCCTCATTTTTCCACTTGTCAATAGATTGCAGACGTCTTCACTAAATCTGTGACTCGCCTCCGTCATAATTTTCTAATTAGCAAATTGATGCTTATGGACTTGCCATCATCAATTTGAGGGAAGTATTTGAGTCTATATCTGGCTATAGGCTAATTAGTTTATTTTATTACTTTGTATAGCCTAACTAATTAGCATACAAAATCAGGGATTAATTCTCTGTGTACTATTCTATAAATTAAAGGCAACACAAAGGAGAAATTATCGAGCAAAATTGGCATCGGGAAAGAATTTCATGTTTTGCATTTTCTTGATTATGGAAAACTCTATTAGGGCATGAAAGCTCTTCCATCAGTTTATGGACTTGGAGAATATTTGGCTAAGCT